GGAAAGGGTTTGGGGGTAGAGAGGTGTCGATCTGATGTTTGGAGCTAAATGCAGCAACAGTTTTACACCTAGTATCCTCTCTTGTGCAGGACAGGCCTTTTCCCTTCCGGCAGCAGCAAGAGGCAGCTTTGAGACAGATGCTTCATAAAGTGTATGTGAGATTTTACCGCTTTCTCCTGTTATGGTAACAGAAAGGAGACAGCACATCTTAGTCTCAAGGCCCAGCTTATAAAAATGGTGTCTGGTTTTGACAGCGTATTTATGAGTATCTCCATTATACAACCCACAAGAGTTACTGTCTAGCATAAGTGCAGTTTTAATGCCACAAGTTAACAAGATAACAGTGTGTAAAATGGATGTTTATAGAGCTGTGGTGGTGGTTTCAGGCACCGAGATCCTGAGCTGCACAGATCTGTGTGGGAGGAGAAAGGGGAGAAAGACCAGAAGAAGCAGAAAGCCTGGGAGAAGGAGCATAAGCACAGCCAGCCTGAAAATCAGAGTCAGGAGGCCAAGAAGGTAGTTCAGGTGAAATTGGAAGAAGAGGTTACGATTTGCAGAGAGCAAGCTACGGTGTCACTGGAACGCCCTGAGACACATACAAAGCTCCTGCTACCGGAGCATGACATTAGTGACATGAAAAAGCAGGTCTGTCACCTGCAGACCTTTCTGAAATCTGGACGGGGCTGTGCTGAACTCACAAGTCAAGTTCCCCACATTCACAAAGGAGATGACACAGAGGGTCAAGAAGAAGGCACAACTGTGGACAAGGTGCTGAGGGACCAGGGGGATTCAGCCGTAGTGCTCAAGCCTGAGGAGATCTCAGCCTCAGAGTCAAAGCAACCTGAGCCACAGGTGGACAGAAGTGGTCTCCTGCTGACCGTCGGGAGGATCGAAGCGATGGTCAGCAGCGCCCTCGGGACGGCCGAGTTGGTGAGGCAGAGCGAGCGGAGGGTGAGCCAAGTGAGAGAAAAGATGGAGAGTATCACTCAGAAGATGGAACAGGCTTTAGACCCATCAGCAGACACTGTTGAGCCAATCCAGGTTATGGAGAAACGTCCATCACAGGTTCGTCATTCTGAGAAATTTGTTTATATTTTATGGATGCTAAGGTAAAAGCAAACATTACAATTCAGCATCAACATTAACCTTGAAAATGTTTTATTCAAACATCTACTTATTTTCTCAGAAAGATTCACTTTGATGATCATCTTTAGATGAGGATGTTTCTGAACCTTTACTGCAATCTTAGTAATACAGTATCACACCTAATATCTGTTCTCCTGAAGTGCTCAGGTCTCACGCTGCCAGCGAATTGTGAAACAGGCACAATAAACTTCATAGACGATGTTGGACCTGAACAGAAAGACATTACACAGATTCTTTCTTCATCTCCTACTTTCCCAGAAGTCCCAGAGCCTCCACAGCTGCCCATGAATGGTATGGTGACTGCAACACAGAAATACGTTGATGGTGTTATCATGGTAATGGGGTACACAGTGAGACAGAGATGTATTAAAGCTACTTCCTTTTCTAGCGGTAATCCCAGGGGATTTCTGAAAATAGACTGTGCCGATATTTACATTTCACTCAACAGCTGGTACAGAGGAAGGGGAGGGTGTGCTTTCTGGGGCCACTGGGAATACTGGGAGGGATCCAAATGAGTTTTCTATGTTGATTTGGAGAGACATTATGGAGGTGCGGGGGGGGTTCCAACTGTGTAAAATGAATACATTTTCAATTCATATGTAGAGTGCAAATATAAAAAGTTCAATGTAAAAAAAATACTTCCAACTATTTAAAAAAATAAAAAGTAAACTTTAAAATGGGTCAGTTTGACCCACAACATACAGTTCATAAGTGTCAACTGGTTTATTAGTGGATAAAAATATAAAGTAGGATTGGACAAAGAACAGGAAATAAAATTAGGCATAATTCAGCCTGCTTTTGAAAGTGAACTGGAATTGTTCAAAACACAAAGAAATGAATCTCAGTGAGAGGAATGTAAAGTGGATAAGACTGATGCTGCTTTATGTTTCTTTATGAAGAGAATCTCCAGCTAGTCTGAAGGAAATGTTTACAGTAAACTTTCACTATTTTACCGTCTCCAAGTTTAGTTATGACAGTTCTCAAAACTCTGAACACAATCTAGATTGTATTTACACAGTTTTTGAGTGATTTTAGCCATCATTATGCCATGTATTGTATAAATATAATCATGTTGACATCTCTTACTGCTTCTCCCCTCAGTAATTAGGAAGCAATAGCTATATCTAAAAATAGTCATTTTCTTTGCATCTCTTCAAAATGTCAAGCTTCATATATCATCTTGTCTAAAACAGTAATAGCTAACATGGCTACGCACCATATTGAAGGTAAACCTGAACTTACTGTAACAGGCTGTATAGTTGCCTCAGTGTCTGGTATTTATAATTATTTTACAACTGCATATCTAAAGGTAACATTGTGTTGTGCCACGATAGTGGTAGCTTGCTTTTGGTTAGCAAATGAATTTGCATTAATAGAAACAGCAGCAGGAGGAGGAACAGTAAAGACTTTGTTCCCTCATTCTGACAATAAGTTAAATTGTAGAGCTTTATGAATTATCTCTTAACAGAGTTAAGAGAGAGTCATTATATTGAAGCAAGTGCTGTACCAACATGTGCTGAAAGGCCACTCAGAAAGGAAGAAGCCATAGTTCCTAAGACACCATAAAAAAAAAACAGGTTTATACTTTGCAAGTGCTCTAGGGGACAAAGACTTCAGTTTTTGTTGGCATGTCTTTTGGTCTGAAACAGTAACTGTTGCTGCATTTATAAGAAAAAAGTGAAACGTTTAGAAGTCTTATCACTTCTTAGGGTTTTGTCTTCATTTGGTATATTTAATAAAGGTATTTTAAAAAAAGGGTCAGACAAACCAGTTAGTAAACTGTCCGAGATTCAAATTTAGGGCTAATTTGCTTTTCACCAGATTTTTCTTTAGGATCTTAAATGATAACCTTAATAATCTAGAAGTATCTCAAATCCAAATGGATCTCAAATATTTGCAAACCTGCCAGTTCTTTGGTGTTTTGGAAATAAGATGGAACTGTTCAAAATTAATTTATTGACCTCAAAGGGAAAATTAATTATGTTTTAACTCATATCAATTCAAAATTCTTCAAAGAGGTATTGTAGATGACTTTTAGATTTAAAAAAATTAAGAACTGTTGTTTTATTAACCTAAACTGTGCTAGTAGAACTCTACAGAGTAACACTAATTGGCTTTAAGGTCACTGTTGTTAAAAATAAGATCAAATTTGATTCATAAAGTTATACAGTAGAACAAATTCTTAACTTTTCACCAATTCCCAATGAAAGAAATGCTTGAAGTGAGAAAACACTCAGCAGCTCTTGGTTCCTCACTTGTTACCGCATCACAAGGCTCCTCCTGAAGCAGACAGCGGGAGCTCTTAGCCCGTGGCTCAAGCACCTGATGCGCTTCAGATGGTTGCCAGGTTATTGTTGCCCTTAGCTATAGAGGTGGGCTGGGTGGCATACTTCTTGAAGCAAGAGGTACAGTAGTTTTGATAACCAGAAAGAACATCATGCTGAGGATCAGTCCCAATTGGAAAACAACTAAATTTATTTCTGCCATCTTTTTTTTTTTTTTTTTTTTTTTTTGCAGTGTCATATCCTTTCTTTCTTCTCCACTCCTTTTTTTTTACTGTTCCCTCTGACATTTGCATTGCACATGCCTGGCTGTTAAATGCAAATCGACTGTTTTCACGGTCTGTCTGTGCTTTGGCTCTAACAGGTGCTGCAGGACGAGGCAGCAGCTGGGAGGTAAGACCCACTCCTCTGAAAAATGCTGTGTTATTTCTTTACGTAGCGTTTGCATGCATACTGTTCTGTGTTACTGTGTTTTCACTGTTGTTTTACGCAAAAATATACATTTGCAGGAAGTATACTGTACACACAATAATATGATTGTGTACAAAGACTTTCATCCACTTTAGGCCAACTTCAGTATCCTTGTTAACCCTCAAGGGACACTTTCTGTCCAAAGGGAAACAGTTTCACAAGTAAACTTTTAAAATATTACAAAGGACATAAAATGTTAAGACTTTATTTAGATGAATAAATACAGAGAAGAGAAACTGTATGTTCAAACACTGTTAAGCTGGGAACTGTTCGTCTTTGTCTTTAAATGTACAAGTTTAGATCTCACAAGTGCATTTTTATGTTTTGATCATGACAAATGGCTTTATTTACGTGTCATAGAGAAAGGCGGCTTCATAAATTTGCATATTTCACTTCATTTTGGTTAATTTTGAACCTTGTATTCTGCTAGAATAATAAGCTCTACGACCCATTTGCTCTTTACTCTGCTGGATGGTGCAAATATTGTATGACATAAAAATCTACTTTAATTCTGCATTTGTTTTTAATCCGTAAATATTTAAAAAGTTCAGACTCAGACAGTAATAATTTGATCATAAGGTAATTTCTATTTTCTGACTAATTATTATGTATTTTTAAACAATGGCTAGATTTTCATCAAATATATGTTTTTTTAGCTTTTAACACAGATATTATGTTCATCAATGGTGTCTTGTTTTGGATAAAATCATCAGGGTGAAATGTCATCATTTACACAAAGGCATGATGACAAACGACGACAAATCTATGTAAATGATGACACAGATACCAGTTATCTATGTTAGAAGTAGAAAATTAGAATAAGACAAAAGGACTGTAAACTTGGCAGCAACTTAAGTTATTGCAATAGTCCACTGAAGTTAGGTGAGTAAGAATAAGTGACTTTCTGGCTCAAACTGCTTCTCTTGCAGTAGCTGAAATGATCATGTGACCTTAAAGCTGTTTTACCCCAATCAGTGTGTTTGCTGTGTTCTTGTTTTCTCTGAGTGGTCAGCAAACTTAAATCATAAACACCAAAGCAGTAAGAAAGAGCAGCAATGATACAAGGTATTGGCAGAGCTGATTAGCAAACAGCTATGGAGCTTAAGAGCTCGGAAGTGGATTCCTCATAGTCAAAAGAGTAAACACAGATCAGCCGGGCGCAGTCTCTCACAGAAAAGCACACAAAAAGTTTCTTACACCTTTATTAAAAAATAAGTGTTTTCAAAAGAGAAATGTTTCATCTTCTCCTGGTCTTATTTAGGGAAAATTGTAGGATCAGATGCCTGAGATCACATAATCACACGTACGCGTACACTTCACAGCAGCTTAAAGAGGCGCACTGAGTCCTTCTCCTTAAATGGTAAAAGCTCCCAGGAGTGAAAGAGAGGCTGTTGCTGCTGAAAAAAGCCAGGGAAGAGAAGGGACGGGAGAAGGAAGAAGAAGCCCTGAGGACTGAGAGTTTTCTGGGGAAAACTGTGACAGTGACAGCTTGATTATCGGAAGTGTCTGAGTTGGGGGGATCAGCTGGAGTCGCAGCAGTGTAGCGGTGGACTCAGGTAACGTGCACACTCTCTGTGGACAGGTTCAGATGTTCAGCTGTTTGTTCCTGTGGAGTTTCAGTGGATTATTGGACACATGCAGCTTCGGCTGTTGTTTTTTTTTTTTATCTCTTCAGCTGCTTGAACCATCTGCATGAAGGTTTGTGGACTGCTCTGTTTGACTGCAGTGACTTTATGTAAAACTGCTTGCATAACTAATGTGTGGCTTGCCACTTTGGAAGTCTGTTCAGTCAACTCTCCTCCCTCTGCCTGACTTTACATCACAGAGACCGTTGCAACTTTTATTTTCTTACACTTCCTCTGCCATGTTATCTCAGATTGTGCCTGTGTCCAAACCACTTCCTCTACTGGCTCTGCACTCTGTGCTTCACACAACCAAATTTTAAACAAATCTGGAATGAAGGAGTTGGATTATGTAACCGATAAAGGAAGGAAGGCGCTGCTCCCTTTACTTCGCTCCCTCTCATTCTTGAACAATTTTGGTAGAAAATCAAGGCATCTGTCTGGTTTGTTTGAAGATGAAGGGCAAGAGTTGGTTACAAGAGGATATCTGAGCTCAGGATTGCATGTTCTGTTCTTTTCTCCCACAGGAAATCACCTGAGTGATTCAATTACTCTGCAATATTTATCTCAGTGTCATGGTCTGTGAGAGCAGCACTCTGCACTGCAGCCTCCTGCAGAGCAGCTTGGCACCTTTGTTTAGGTTCAGTCCTTTTCAAGCTGTGCAACATTTCTTCAGCGTGTTTGACAGTGTTTGGTCGGGGCAGGATTCTTGATTCGAGAACTTTTCCAGAGCGTTTCATTAAGTATTCTCCACTAAACATTAAAAGAAACTAGATTTCTGTATATTTCTCAGAAGCAGAATTTGTTCAGAATCAACTCTACCATTAAAACCTCAACTGAAGATGAAAACAGAGCTAATAATTAGCATATTATTGTCACTGCACAAACAAATATAAAGGCTAAATAATACAAACCACGCTAATTATTTTTTTTAACATTGTTATTTGAAAATATTTGTCTAAGAATTGGTCATTCAAAGTTTCTTCTAAATGGATTGAAACTAGGTTTTCCAATAGCAGTTTCTAAGAAGTAAAAACTAAATGATTCATCCTGCATCCTTACAGAAAAACTAGCTGAACATAACATGGTGTAAAATGTTTACTTCAACCAGATCTCAAAAGGTTGAATAGTCCTCCTTTTGAGGACGAATCATCAGGAGGCGTTGATCAGGAAATCAGAAGCTTACTTATCTCAAAGCTACATGCTGTTTCTTTATTTAAAGAGATACCTTAGACTTCAGAATATCGCTCTGAAAATGTAAACAATCTATATTTCTAGCCAATATAGGAATCTCGTAAGTGATGGTTTTTCCATGTTCAGCCATTTTGAACTTACATTGGATTAACAACCAAAGCTAAAGTGTTATGATTAATGACTGATTATTCCAAAGCTTTCTAAATCGGAAAAAATACATAATTTAAGAATAAATTTGGCATGTATTTATAGGCCTTCAGACAAAACCTTTTGAGTATAATTACTGAGGTCATATGTTTCTCAGATCTGTGAAAATAATATATTGTTTTGTCGAGATTTGGTTCTATTAGTACATTTTGCAGAGACCTGCAGAATATCAGTTCTTGTAATCCAGCGATGGCAACTAGTGCTACTTGAACTAGGTTTCACATGAAGGTTGTTTAGGAAGGTATGTGTTAATCTTTAAAAAATAAAATAAAATTTAATGGGACATGTCATAAATACATAAATAGTTAATAGTTCATTAGTTGTACAAGACAGAGATTTAGATAATCTCTAGTTATATAGTTTAATTTAGTTCGGAAGACAGAATCTAATTAATGTCAATACAAAGCAATCATAAAGACAGGCTTATAAAAAGAAACAATGAGTAATCTAAACCAATTATAATGCAATGACATAAATGACCGTCTTTTAAGGAAACTCAGCCATCGGGCTTTGACACTTTGTTTAGAATATAACAGAAGAATTTTGAAAACATCTCTAATCCTTCATGAACGTAAACAACCTACAAGACTGAATGCTTCTGCAAAGTGAGAATGAAAAGGAATTTGTATTCCTGCCTGAGAGTGTCTTTATGTAGTCAGGAAATATCCCAGCAGCTCACTGGGAAACAGTTAAACAATCCATTTCCTCCCCAGTGACTCACAACCTCGCTGCCGCTTTATGTTCCCAGGAACTTGTCATGTTCGTGATGATATTGAGCAGCGTTGTATAATCTAGACTTCACCGAATCTGAAGATTTATTACACTTTCATGTCTCACCTGTGAAACAGTAATTCATCTCTGACACCTGTTATGCTCATGAATATGGAGCTCTTGCTGTTTGTGATGAATAAAAACTGCCATGAATCCCATTAGCATCAGACCTCATTGACCCCTGACACTGGTTTGTGCCAGTACCCGAGGCGCTGCTTTCCTTCAAAGGGTTAAAATGGTTCTGCATTTGGATTTGCATAAATGTGCTGCTAAAAATAGAACAGTGTGAGTTTAAACAAGGTTAACATAATGGCTGCACACATTTTTTTCACATGAAGGTTTGCTTTCAGTTCAGTGAACCATGCAAAAAGAACAGGAACATCTATTAGTCAGGAAATGTTTATTAGTTTCACTGAATTCTTGAATGTCACAAACTCCATACCCGTTATGAACATGTTTAATGCCTCCAGCACTAATATATTAGCAGATTTATGCTTTCTTTCTGTAATTAGATATTGCATGTTTGTTCTTATTTCACTTTCCACTGTCAATCTTTTGTTAGTTTGTTGTCTTTTAACATTTGACCCCTTAATCACAACTCCAACATTAACAATTTTGACAGTCAGTGTTGATCAGCGTGAGCTCCACAGTGATGACTAACCCTCTCAATAATCTTCCGCATGGCTTGCACTCGTGTTTTTATATAATCTTTCTACAAATCCTTCTGTTTGTTTTACTCCGTCCCGGAGGAGCTCATTGCACCAGTCAGCCTGTGAGAGTCGAGTGCAGCTCAGTGTGTTATAACAACCAAGTGCATCCCTGCGAGTGTTTGTAATCAGCACTGTGACTGCCCGGAGAAAACTGCAGTGTGGGAATAAAAACAGATGAAAATAATGTATTTATTTATTAGAGGTTTCAATCACCTATGCTGCAGTAGTTTCTGGCTTTGCTCAGCTTCAGATGTAAATGATCTAATGGTTTTAGCTGAACTCATGATTTCTTCTTTATAATCACAAAGTGACATTTGTGTTTTTAATCTGTGTTGGTTTGCCTTGTATATTTTAGTCGATTTCTCAGAGGTGGTAGTGATGGAGTTACATGAACACCCTGCACATGGGTAACGTGACACACACTCCCAGAATTTGCTTGCATTCTCCTGCATGTGGACTTTGGAGCACAATTTTAAAGTTACTATATCAAACTTAAGTTTGATTTAGTGCGTCACCTATAGAACTGCTTGCTGTCTTCCTGTTTTGTTGTGAATTGTTATTCAATCAAAAAAAATAAATAAATAAGACTGCCCTATCCAAAATAAAAACTTTTTGACATGGCACCATCACATACCTCATGTGAATATCACTTGAGGTAACTCCACTCAGATGTTTCTTGCTTTTCTGCTTCATTTCTTCAACAGTGTTTACTCATTTTCAGCATGACTGGAGCAAACAATAATTTTGAGTAAAAATTATTGTTTGCTTTTCTTGATAATTTTCAAACCTCAGAATTTGAAATGACGTAGAGTGAGCCCAGTCCTACCAGTTATTCCCCACACAGCCCCCACACAACCAGTTAACAAGTTATGATGGCGGTCAATGTGATCGTCACTGTTTTTGCTTCAGCATCATCGTTCATGTCAGTGTCTGCCAGGAAGCCAAACTCTAAAACTCAATCATGGACATTAAGGTTAAATCAGATGCAACTCACATTTTTCAAACTCCAAACATGCCAAAGCTCCCCTCCCTTATTGCCATCTGATTGGTCATTCTTGTGCCTCTAGTGATGTCATCAGCCTAAATACACACAAACTGTAGTTGGAAGAGTTTCCTTCAGAGTGCCAATAAATAACTGAGATTTGTTAATCCTTGTAATGAAAATCCAGACTTTGTTACCCAGCTGCTTTTATTAAAAGTGCACACTTGTTTAAAGAACTGTTGAGCCCCAGCACTGCACATGCTATAGGATGATATTATTACATCTTCATTAAATAAATAGTATCTAGGTTTCAAGATGTAAATTAAATGTTTCAGGATGGTTTCTGTTTTTAGATTTCAGAGGAAAAATGACTTGCAGAGTTTGTATATTAGTTTATACTCCAGAGTTGGTTTCTGTCTCTTTTTTTTTTTTTCAAGCCTGTGGAGTTATTCTGAGATTTGTTTAGGGCGTGATAGTGTGGTTGACTCTCTTAGCAGTAGTGCTTTTCATCTCTAATGCTGTTATCCTCTAACAAGTATAGAAAAGAAGAGCGCTTCCCCGACTCCACTTGTGTTTCAGCTCAGACTAAAACGACAGACTTTTGTGTCTTTATGTGTTGATGATCTTGCAGCTCCAGCAAGAGAAGAGACTCTTCCTGCCTGAGTTTTCTTTTAAAAAAGGCGACGGTAACTTGAGGGCTTCGTCCAGTCCTTTGACCTTCCCGTTCACGCACTCTCGCCCCTTTCTGCCCCCCGTCATGCCCACCCTGCCTGAAGAAGAAGAGGACTCTCCTGAAGAACTGGACAGTTCATCTAGCTCGCCTAGAACAGTGAGTACAAACTCTGCCCCCGTCTGAAGCGCACACTCACAAATAACTCAAAGGTAGAGTGAGGAAATTCCATCAATGCTTCTGCATTAATCTGACTTTGAAATTAGCAACTTTTCCTCCATCGTGCTGCTTTTAGTTTGCCAGGAAGAGCACATTAATCAAAACATTCCTCTGTTTAATATGCTCCCCGCTGTTCAAACAGAGCTACCAAAGCTACAATATGAATTATTGCTATCTTAATATTAATCTTTAAAAGTCCACTGACATCAAAGTGTTAAACTGAGCCTGGTCTCCCTCTGAAATGGCTCATAAACACCAAAGCTGGTTGGGACATCTCAGAATCTAATGAAGCAAATGTCAACATAATAAAACTACCCATCTTTATTGGATGAGTGCTGCTTTGAATCTGCAATCTGTCTACAGTGTTACATCATGGTTTCCTTATTTTAGTTGTGTCCTGGCACCATTAGCTTTTAGTGAAGTTTATTAGCATCGCTGTTGGTAATCACACAGGAATTTATGGCTGTAAAATTAATGACTTAAAAACTTTGGAGTTCAGTCTTGTCATTTAAACAAGTCAGTTTGGATGGTTATACTGTATGTGACTTAAAAACCAACCATGAAAACTAAAAACAATTTCCAGGGTTATTCAATCTATAGTTAGGATCTAGCTCAACCCAAACCTGAACCGGGTTTAATGAGACCGCAGTACATACAACACAGAGAAAACCATAAAAGAATGCACAATAAAATTCTTCTAATCTAGTCAAAGCTGATTAGTTAGTTCAGATCGGGCTGGGAAACAATGCCTCTGTGGGATCATCAAGATGTTTTTACAAATGTGAGATGGACCTTTCTGCTCTTTCCTTTCTTTTTGAGATATTTCACAGAACGTTTTGTCAGACGGCTTCTGTTTAAAGGTTAGTTTCCTGTTTCATAACAGTGAACAAACTGAGTTGTCAGATGTCATATTTATGAAAATGTGTGTCAGTATACAGTAATTTAACCCTGAATGCAAATATTTTACACTGATCTGTTGGCCATTATGAATCTTTGGACTAATTTTATCTGTGACAGCTTGTTTGTAGCACCACATGCAGTAAAGTATATCTCAATTGAAATCTTTGTCACAAGGCATAGGGCAGTATGAAGATCTGACAGCATGATATATATGAGCAGAAGTCCTTCAGTTGTGTGAAACAGTATAGCGTGATATAATTGTTGCATATATGATTATGATATTGTCCTTTCCACCAATAGGATCACAAGTTTGTGATTCTTTGTGCTGAAGCTTTTCATTGTTTTTGTTGTTTAATTTGTTGTGAATGTTAGGAAAAGTACACACAGCCTGAACACTGACAGCTTTCAACAACAGCTGGAAAAAAAAAAGATTCATGTCTTTGGTCTCTTATTAGAAGGAGTTTATTTTGCTGAACTGCTTGAGTCCAGAAATCAGCCCAGTACACGTTTATCATTATTTACTGCAGATCAGCCTGCCCCTCTCTGTCCTGATTAAAGTCTCCAACACAAAGCAGGAACTGCTTAAACTGGGCGAAGAACTGGGGTGTCATACACCTTCCAGCTCACTTTCCAGCAATGAGTCCAGTGTTTTATTACTGTGTTCCTACTATGACTGGGCTCTTCTTTCATTGTGTTGGACTGCAGTCTACAGCAGGTGAAAGTCAAGCCGTTATTATGACCGCCCCCACCATCGTCTACCCACAGAAGGCCATCATTGTCCAACAAGATGGACGACCCTTCGAGCATGCTAGGTAATTGCCCATCCACTGCATCCAACCCTGAAATAGATTTCCCGCTTCCACTTCACTGTTATTGACTTGTTGCTGTCCTCTCTCAGGCCGCACAGTCCCAGAGCTCGCCAGGCCAGAAACTCCTCTGGAGGACCCATCACCACAGTTGGTGGGTAAACCCCACAAAGGCTCACATGCTGCAGCTGGAATCTAAAAATAAACACTATGAGAATTATTTAGTTTGTGGTTTGGATTCATCAGTTTTATCCTGGAAATATTTTTCCATTAACTAACTGTTTTAGCATGTTTCGTCTTCAGCAGATGTGCTCCAGGTTTGTAGTGTCGTCTCCAGGTTTACAGATAAATCTCCTGACGTGTCCTCCCTAATGTCTGAAAAGCTTTTGAAGCTTTGATTCCTTTTAGTCCTTTATGAGTCAACGGTGAATCATATCAACAGGCAATAACAAACATCATTCTTTTGTCTGGTGATTTGTTTTCTGGCATTTGCAACTGACTTATTCCTGGAAGTTTTTAGACTTATCAGAGAAGAAGTGTAAATTGATACGGCTTACTCCAAATGAAGATAGTTGGGAGTAAAATCATTTAAAATATGCAAAGGTATTTTAAAACCCTGAATTAAATTATGCAGTCATGGAAACAGCATAAAAGAGTATAACTCTTCTACATTATCTAAGTCATGCATCACTTTTTTTATTGTTTCTCTCAGACAGCACCGGTAATGTGATTGACCTGGTAAAAGACCAACTTCCAGAGCTTCAACTTTCTGAAGAGGATCGGCAGAAAAACCTGGAGCTTCTCGAACAGGCCAAGATGGTCAGCGACCGTTTCCTGACCCGCCGGGGACGCCGATCCACCAGCAGCCTCACCGACTCGCCCACAGGTGGTGCACATCCCATGTGCACACTAACATTAAAACAGTGTTTTTCATCAGGCTGAGGTTGACAGAGGAGAGGATGCAGCTTGTCATATTCTGTTAAATACAAAAAAAAAATCCTATTGTATCCTTTATTGCATGCATCATTGTTTTAACGACAGAAATTTTTCTTCCTCAGCTCTCTCTCCGTCTCCAACGCCGTCTTCCTCCCCACGTTCGTCAAGAAGCAGCTCTTTCATTGGTCTGCCTCAGTCTGGTTTGTACTGCACTTTGTCTGTGCTCATCTAAATATCTGCCAGAAATAATTTATAATACTTCACTTCTTCTGTTGTGGTCGGTCTTGCTGTGGTCATTGCAAACTCTTTTGCCCTTTAGAACTCATAGCAAACCAATGTCAATGTTTTAATTTGGAAAGCATGCTGCTCAAATTCAATTTGCCAGAGTTTAAATTTGATTGACCTGACCAGTCTAAATCAGTAATTTAGCAAACTCCATATTTAAGGTTGTTGGCAACATTTAGAACACCCAAAATAAGACGTGTTTTGGTTGTTGACAGAAAATTGAGCCTGTTTTCTTAGTGGCTTTCTTCCCTTCCAGCTGCAGGTGCCTCTGAGGCCACACATGGCTGTCCACAGTCAGTGAGTCAGGTACAGAAACTGCTCTTGCAATGGCACCTAAAATGACCCATATATATCTTTAAGTATACCCAAACCCTTGTTTGTTTGTTTTTTACATCAATATGTCTGGAGTACAAAGTTTTCCTGAATCAGAAGTATCATTTAGTCATTTTCTGTCCTAGCATTTAGAGGTGCCAACAGGGAGAGAGCAGCTGGATTTCAAGAACAAGGATCAGGAGGTGAGAGTTACAGATCCACTAATTCATTTCTTATGTAACCACACATGGGGAAATAAAAATTTCACTTTCATACTTGCTGCAAGTGAGCCTTAGTTAGACCGTCCAAATTGTATATTGTAGTGTCTCTAAACTTAGCTAATGTTACCAGATATAATGAGTTGTATTTTTAAGGATTAAACTGTAATATTAGTACCTTTTCTTTTGAAAATCCTCCATTTCTTCAGATATTTTAAAATTTGTCCCTTTATGCCACCAACTATGTAAAAGATTCCTAAATTATAAAAGAATTTATTTAATTAAATTTTACATTTCGAATATATTGGACATTGGCTCAACTGTTAGCGGGTATTAAAAACTAAAATTTCCATCTTCGTGAATGCTGAAGATGGAAAAATAAAGCACTTTTGAATTTGAATTGATTACACTTAGCTAAACACAACAAAGGTGATAAATGTTTTATTAATCTTGCTAATCCCAGGATGAGCCTTCGGTGGATTATAAGCCGGTTGAGAAGAGAAAAGTGTCGTCTGGGACGCTAACACCTCGCTTTGCCGTTCAGAAGGACAGCCGTGACCTCCCCGGGCCTCGGAGTCCGCAGGCCGGCAGTAAAGCAGATGAGGTTTCAGGTCGAAACCCAAACCTGACCCCAGCCACGGGGGTGGCCAAGCCCGTACCCAGACCCCCTACTCAGCAGGCCCCCTGCACAGCGGAAATCAAAACAATCGGTGCCTTCCCTCCGCTGATGAGGGCGGTCTCCTGGGATTCCGTCGGCAGCATTAACTCAAGAACTGGAGCCTCTGGTTTCCCACCAGCAGTTGACGAGGTTTTCTCAGATAAACCCCGAGACGGTGTGTTCAAGTCCTCATTGTACAAGGACCTGCAAGCCCAACCAGGCAGCATACAGAAATTGTCCAAATTTAGAGAGGTAAAACATCCACTCTGCAGACTGAACTTCACTATCATTATGTAGTTTTTCTACATTTAGCTCCGTCTTCTTTGGATGATTTAAGAAGTGACGTGTGTGGGCCTTTTCCCAGGAGCACAAGCTGATGCGTAACCAGAGTATAGTTAGCTCCAAGTTACCAGAGCTGAGTGAAGCGGCTGAGCAGGAAAAAGGTACCAGCACTTACACACACACTGTCTTATGTAGAACAGAAAGTGCTTTCTCTCAGCCGCGCATTCAGTCCTATCAGTGAGGGTGTAAACTTCCTGAATCAGAGAGAAGTGTTCCTGCTCAAAAATGATGATGACTCGTTTCTTTTTTCTGCACCACCCATTTACATGAAGAACGACATTTTTATTTCTTATCAGCAGATGGCATGATTGCTAAATTATGTGAGGTGAAGAACACTTTTTATGGAACTAGGAAATTATTCTGTGTATTTATGTACTTCAGAGGGAGATTGAGCCATAAACTTTGTACTATAAAAAAGAGTAAACACCAAGCTGCTGTATATATTTTTTAACAGAACATTATTAGAATACTCTTTTCATTTGTGCAGGACCTCCATCGTCTGCAAAGACCACAAGCAGCGAGGAGATGAAGGAAAAATCTGACGCCATGCCAAACATTTCAGATGTAATGCTGAGAAAACTGAAACTTCACCGAGGTCTGCCAGGCTGGTGTGTATCTTCTGACGTTTTCAGACTTTTGCTGAAAAAGTATATTTCTTTATTTGCTAAAAGGTTTCCCTAATTTCTTTTCAGTGCCCCTCCGCTCTCTGAGAAAGAAGTTGAGGTTGGTGTTCATGCTCTCCTCCTTGTAGAGTTTGTTGTATACATTTAGTCACAACCGTAAAAAGGTAGAAACAAATCTCGTTTTCATTGAGTCGCTAAAGTTGCTGAAATATAAGGTCTCAACACAAACAGGGTGAAGTAGCCTGCAGAAAGCAGCACTTTTGAAGCTGCTCAGTGGTAACGTTTAGTAGCCTGCTTGTTTTGAAGGAGAGTCAATAAGATTATCTTTTTTATTTATATTTGCAAACGAAGTAGTTGCAGCCAAATATTTAATCAAATCTACATTTCTTTCACAAGAAAATAAGCTGAAAACAATGCTCCGTATATTTGAGCTTTCGGGTTTATTATTGGTCGTTACATTAATTATTGTCCTTGTTTAACTGAAGCTAATGATGCAGATGGTCACTTGGTTGCAGCTGTTGGAGCGTTTGACATTTTGTGAAAGAAATAAGATGATAGCAGTTTTTCTGCTTCCAGGTAAAATTGAAACATGGAGTTATTTTTCAACAGGAATGTTATTAATTGATTATTAAAGATTAGCATAGATTTGATTTAATCATTCGCATTTGTAATAAGTAAGTAAACACTTCTTTCTGCAAACAAAATCTGCAGAAAGAAGAAATGAAAAAAAATGTTTATGACTCTGTTTTGATACTGGAGTTAATAAGTGATTGAAGAACATAAAGTTGTGCTTTGTCTTGGTTTTTACTATAAAAAAAAACAAGACAGAAGCCTAGACATGTGTTGAACATGTCTAGTGTAAAAAAAAATGAAGTTTTTCAACTGTCTTTGATAACCAGGCAATATTTTCTCATTACAGTATAACTTATTTGTGTGAAGTAGAACATTGTGTAGTTGTTATCGACAGTCAATGTAATATCTGCATTAATTGGTTGTCTGACAATTCTCAGTTTGTAGAAATTCAAATTCCTTCTAACCAGAGCATCAAACTAACAGCTCAAGTCAGTTCCAGGGAAATGTTTTTGCCTACATAAAATCATCTCAAAATGCAAATGAGATAAACTTACCTGGAACTCATTAAATGACAATAATATTCCCGGTGAAAAAAATGCAAAACCAAATCTGGGAGGCATACTCAATGTCTAATGGAGAAACAGGCCAGCGTTTTTGATTGATAGTGTTTGATTTAGCCACAGCTGCCGTGACATGGTTGATATGTCACCTGCCTTTAGAAAGTCATCTGCCACATTTTATGTGGAAGAAACGTTTTTACGTAAAACTTGCTTGTAACCACTAATGATCAGCTTTGTTCTTCACATGAATAGAGTTTGTTTTAAATGTTCATGTCTAAAGTGGACACTGGTTGATCAACATGCTAATGTTGATCAATGAAACTTTCTGTGACTGGAGTTGGAGATGGTAGAGATCTGCTCTGAATAACTGTCTCTCAACATGCCGGTGAGAAACTTAAACAGCTGGTGCAGGTCAAATACTGAAAGCCAAATAACTTATGAGACCATTAAAATTAAACACTTTAAGAAACATAACAATATATAACAATATATTTTGTTTTCATTTCAGAAGAAAGCATAAAAAATTAATTTCAAACTCTGGCCATTGTAAGTCCTAAAGGGACAAGTCATAAAAATGAAATGCCCTCAATGATTTGTGAGCTTGAAACAATATTGTTGTTGTCCAGCGGTGGAAACAGATGGACTCGCTGAACCTTTTCTGTGTATTTGTAGGTAATATCCTGGTCTGCTGCCAACCTGCTTAATTACGCAGTTGACACAAAATTTGTCCGGCGTGGAGCAGGCGCTATTCTGTCAACAGGAAAGTGTTTTTCTTTTCCTGATCAGGCCGAAGAGACTTGCAGCGATTTCCTGTGGAGAAAATGCTAACATTTGTGACGCTGTTGTGCTCCGGCTGTAGCTCCTCTCGCTGCTCCCCGGGGATGTGTCTGGATCAGGACAGTCAGAGGTCATATATTTCCTCTCAACAGTGGCCCCTGTGTAGGAAAATTGGCTTTGATCAACAAAGCAAAACAGCAGGAGGTCAAATGTCAGACTCGCAGCTTGTTCCCCACGCTCAGGGTCGCTGGATTCTGCCTCACATTCTGCATACTACTAATACTTCTCATTTAGCTGAGTATTTGCTTTGGGTCTGAAGCCTTTTAAGCGATTACATCTTCTACAGTTTAAGAAAGTCTTTAATGTGTGATATAAAGTATAAATACCTCCCTGCAGAACGCCTTCGTCCAGCTGTCGCTCGCATTTCGTAATGACAACTATACTCTGGAGACGCGACTGAAACAAGCAGAGAGGGAGAGGAACCTGACAGAGGAAGACACCGAGAAAGAGCTAGAGGAGTTCAAAGGAGCGCTGAAGGTTGGCCCTTAAAAACAAAAGCTTTGTTTCGATGTTTCCCTTCCTACATAGACTGCGAGTGAGAGACGTGCTGGTTAATGGGGACTGATGTAATTTGTGGTGATGTTGTGTTTTTCCTTGCAGATGACTGCGCCACAGTGGCAGAACATGGAGCAACGGGAAGCTTACCAACGCCTTATAGAGACACTGGCAGTGCTGTACCGACTGACCACACGACTCTCCAGCAGGGCAGAAATAGTTGGAGCGGTTCGGCAGGTGCAGAAACACAAACACATACAGAAATGTGAAAAAGTCTCGAGTTGTCGTTTGTGTTTTTGTTCCAGGCTTTACTGTAATCTGATGTTTCTCTTGAAAGGCTCTTCAGTTTCTTTAGATTTGCCTGCTGTTTCTCTCATTTTTAGACCAGTGCCTTAGTTTTTGTTTTTATTTAACGCATGTTTATTGAATGATATTATGAATTGTTCAATTAAGTTTAGCTTATTAACAACACGTGTCCGCTCAAGGCACTTTGCAAGACAGACAAACCAGATTTATATATAGAAATGTAAATCCAGAAGTATTTTCCAGAAAGCCGATTTTGTTACTTTCCATCAGCAAACAATAACTACTAGAAAAACTGCCTGTGACGTTTCATGTTGTTGGTTTTAAAAAAATAAACAAATAAATAAATAAAACTATACCTAATGTTGAATTTAATATATTGGAAAACAAAAGTCTGGCAAGTAACTTTACAGCTTAATGTCAGCACATAGTTCACAGCTTGTTTGACTCTTTGTTGAGAGTGAATGCTCAGCTCTTGTCCCTGAGGCCTGATGGACGGGGCTTTTATTGTCAAACAGGAGAAACGTATGAACAAAGCCACTGAGGTTATGATGCAATATGTGGAAAATCTGAAGAGGACATATGAGAAGGACCATGCAGAGCTGATGGAGTTTAAGAAGCTGGCCAACCAGAACTCAAACCGCTGTTATGGAGCATCCGTAGACACTGGAGGTAAGAAGATGAACATGCAACAAAGCGATAAAAACACGCAACTTTTGCTCTCCTGCTTCACTGTTTAAGCATTTTATAACCAGAAAACATTTCATGTTCAGCGCAAAATAACCTTCATGCAGCTGATGCTGTCGATGCGGAGCTCTGTTTCAATTAATAATTCCTTCAAATGTTTTTTTCAAATCAAGATGATGGGGTTGCACGGCCATCAAGATCAATGTCCCTCACGCTTGGGAAGGTAATCAGTGATGTTTTTCAGTTTCCAAATTAAGTCTTCATGTCAAAACCCAGCAGAAAGGCCCCATCTCGCTTTTTGTCATTGTGTCCCTTGCAGGCTTTACCCAGGCGGAGGGTGAGCGTGGCAGTGGTGCCTAAGTTTAACCTCCTCAACATCCCGGGTCAGAGCCCAGGCGCGTCGGGCCCGGGCCCAAACGTGGGGCTCGCGGCAGGTGCTGCTCTTCCTGTCCTGGTAGGTTTTTCCTGTCCTGTTGGGAAATGATGGGAAATGAGGTATGAAGCATCTCTTGCAGTGACACCCACACAGCCAGACTCGCTTTTGAATGAAAGGTCATGAGCTGGTCAAAAAAAACAATTTAGCTCTTTTACAACTGAGATGAAATCATTTATTTGAAAAACAGCTTTGTATTGCGGTTTCAGAGCCAGTATTTTTGCTTAAAACAGACCTGACTCCTAGTTTTGTTTCTAAAGAATATAAATTGTATCACTTTTCTCTTTAGTGTGAAGCTAATGACGTGAAAAGCAGCTCTCCCACCGAAGCAGTTCAACCAACACCAGAGTGGTATGCTTGCTTAAACACACAACATGCATGTTTGATCTCTCAGGGCCATTCCTGCAGAGTTGGACGCAATGTTCCCGGAGAAATCCTGAACTTCTAATCATTTCTTATCCAAGCTTTTTCTGCTGTGTTAGGAATTTCGGGTTGTTTGCGTGACCTGCAGGATGTGCTTTACAGTGCAGAGAAAAGCCCGAGCGAGCTAAAACTAATACTAGAGGCTTAAGAAAATAATATTTAATCTAAACATTTGGGAAAGACGCTGACAAAGTCCAGGCACATGACTCCAGTCATATTGTGGTCATAAAGTAAGCTTCAGTCCAGCTCTCATATGCCTGAGCCAGATGTTCTCTGTGAGGAGAATAACAAACGTGCCAGCTCCGCTTGTTCTGTTTGTGTTCAGTGCTGTTAACGCACTAATCCAGAGCTGTGGCGCTTACATTAATAAGACATGCCACCTTTGTTTTGATGGAGCCTAACTCTAAAGTGTTTTATAATGTCTGCTGTGATAATGGTGCCGTCCAAGGCTGACAGCTCTGTTCTTTCCTATCTGAAACAATGCAGTGGAAAGAGTGGGATGGAGCCGGAAAGCGAGCCACCCAAACCTCCAGTAAACTTGGAGGAGCTCAGAGCCGAGATCAAGGCAAAGATCGAGGAGGAAGCGTACAATAAAGGGTGAGGCCTTCTCCTCTGTTATGTTGAGACATTTTTATTGACTATAAAACATTGGTTGTGTAATCACGGAGAAAATGAAAGTTTCTAGTTCCAAAAAAGTGGTTTATTGAAACAACTGAAACTCAAACTTTTTATGTGTTTACTGATTTTACTTTCCAAACTTGTAAAAGTCCATTAATGTCTGTGCTACAGAAAATAGCTTCCTAAAAGCTTCTTTAAATCGGGAGTTACTGATACTAAAAGAAAGAAAGGGAAAGGGAGTCCTATGGAAACATAGAAACATCATTTTGACCAACAGAATTGCCCATTTGTATACCACTTAGTTATTCTAAACTGTTTGGCTGGAGGAAAATCCCAGAAAAATATATTAGCTTTGGAGAAACACTTGAATTGAATCTCATGAGGTCTATGTACTTCTAAAATGCCAGATTTCTGTCATGTACAAATCACAGATTCATTTAAACTACATGTAGCACGCTGTGGTTTTTGAAGTATGTAACTACTTTGCTAACTTTGTTGAAGCAGTTTTGAATTCAGTTTCAGTATTTGATATTCCTGATTTTACTTAGTGAATGTGATTCAAATGAAATACAGTTCAGCTGTCAAAGCCACATATCCCCAACATTCATTTTATTTCTGTTAAAGTCTTCAGAGAGGTTGCAAAAAGTCAATAAGTTCTCATTTCACAAAGGTGTCAATGAGATTTGTGCAAAAAAAAAATCCAAAGCTTTCTATGGATTCTGAAGAACAAAGAATACAGTTAATAATTTAAGAAAATACAAGACAACAGGGACAGCTTTTCTAAAAATGTTGGATGTTTATCCAAAACTCATGTCTGTATGACCGTGTGCAGTTTATGGAGAGGAAAACGCCTCACTATTTCAGTAAAGTTGGGTGCAGAATTAGAGTAGCCGAAATATTCTCCCTGTCACCTGCAGCTTCCAAGAGGGACTGAAACACACCAAAGCTCTCCTGGAAGAGAAACATGCAGAGGAAATGGAAGCAGAAAAACTGCTGGAGCTGAAACACAAGGATGAAGAAAGCGGAAAGAGGTATAAAAGCAGCAGGTAAACTAAATCTGCTTCTCTTTTTTTTTCTCAAGAAATAAATATTTAGGATAAATGCCAGTGGAGGTCTGGAGTTTAAGTACTTTGAAATCACATTATCTATTTCTACATCATAGCATGTCATTCAAAGAACATTATAAATTTATTTTCTCAGAATGGAAATGTTTGTCTATTTTCTCCACAGGAGGATGGAGGAGATGCTGGTTGTCCTCAGTCGGTTTTGTCCCTCGATTTCTGTCAGCAGGCGCCTTCTCTGGATCGTCCTTGTGCTGTTTGTGGTGATGTGCGTGCTCGTCAGTATTTTCACTTTCTTCAGTGACTATTACAACCGACGTGAGGACACATAAGAAACGCTTTTGGAGACACAACAGAGATGGCTGGACTGAGCAGAACCAAAGAAGTCTGTACCAGAGGAGTTGGAAGACATGTTTTTACCTTTCTAGCAGATCATTGCAGACGGACACACTTGAATGGACAGACTGATCGAAGCAACTGGTCCAGAACCTGGTTTGAAGGATTTATAGAGGATGTCTTTTTTTTCCTACGCTAATTTGTAATTTTATTTAGAATGGAAAGTTTGCTGTCTGTTTATTGTTGGTAAGATTAGGGACCAAATATACAGTGTGATTAATCTTATTTAATTCATAGGTGCACATGTAATTATACATTCTAGCTTTGGTACTTTGAAATATGGCACCTTCCTTAAAATGCCACAGTGAAAAAATGTGCATCTATCAGAAATTTCAACACAACAGATTTTTTATTTATATTTAAAAAATGTTTTTTTGCAGTTGGTTAATTTTGTGAAGGGCATTTAAGGTTTAGAAATAAGCACATAGAAACAAGGCTTTTAGTGCAATATTTGGAGACTGAGTGATTTGAGATGTGGGTCACTGACAGATTTTCTTTGTTTATGAGAGCACTTTCTGGACTACCATCCCGAGTGCCTGGGTTGAGAACTGTTTTGCTAATTTACCTTTTAAATAAAAGGTGTCTAAGAATGAAGCTATGCTTTAATAACTTTCATTAATCCATCCATGCATCTAGAGTCTCTGTCCATCAATGGGTGATAGCAGGAGGACACGCTGGGCTGGAATATTACAGGTTGTGACAACATCCACACAAAATAATACTAAGTCGAACGGTGTAACAATTTTTTATATCATGACAACTGATTGATGTGACACTACTATAGAGCGAATTGTTGTACATAACCTAAAGAAAGGATCAACAGAACATATTTTGTGAAAACTCATACTACAAAATATTTTATACTTTAGTGTAATTATAATTTGTTTCAACCAGCAACCCACCAGTTGCGGCATAATCGAACCCTTCCCCCTGAGCTACCATCAAAGGCATGCAGAAAATCTATACAAATTCAAATGTCTATCAGTTTCCTCTATGTACACAGACTGATGAGCTGGATGAGCTACAGCTCAACTGAGCAGTTATTAGGGGAGGAGATGAGGTAATCTGTTGACTTCTAACTGATCCATCTCAGGGCTTAGAGAGTTACACCAAAATAAAATTCAAAGAGGACCTCACACACATATTGTTGCACTGTGGGACAAAACCAGATCACATGGAGAAAATCAATATATTTACAGGAAAAACATGCAAACTCCAGACTGAAAGACCCCTACCAACATTAAAGCCAGAACTTATGCCACCATGCAATCCAATAATAATTTGCATAACAAAACATTACAAAAGTTAAAAGTTAAACCATTTTGCTACAAGTTGGATTTTTGATTAATAGCTTTAAAGTGGCTGTAAACAACCCACTCACAGGAGCTCATTACTTATATTACTACTAACCCACAGGTAGCACAGAACATATAAAAAAAAAAAAAACTTTTCTGCGTAATTTATACCATGATTAAGCATAATCTGCAGTAATTTTGTCATTAACCACAAGGTGGAGCAGTGCGTGGCACTGTCACCTTGAAAGAATGAGGTTCTGGGTTCAAATCCCTGGCTGGACTCTTTCTGCATGAAGTGTCCTCCCTGTGCATGTGTGGATTCTCCCTGGGTACTCCACCTTCATCCCACAATCCAAAAACCTAAACACTGTTAGGTTAATTGGTTCCACTAAATCGAGCTTCGGTCAGGGTTTGTGTGTGGTGCAGTTGTGTTTTCTCCTTCTCTGTGTTGCCCAGTGATTGCTTGGGTCCAGTGTGCACCCTGCCTCTTGCCCAGTGACCACTAGAGATAGTCAGCAAATATGCGACCCTGTAGGGACAAACACTCATATGGATGGATGATCTGGATGGATGATCTGGTCATTTCAAAGCTTCTTGCAGCTATTTCTTCAACGCTGTTTCAATCTCACAAAAAGAGGTAGTCTTTGCATTAATGCAAGTTTCTGACTGAAATCCCCTGACTGTGGTATGGCATGAAAGAGCCATCGATAATTGTACGACCACACAATTCGACCCATCCATCCATTTTCGCTCACACTTATCCCTTGTGGGGTTGCCAGGGATGCTGGTGCCTGTCTCCAGTGGTCAACGGGTGAGAGGAGGGGTACACCCTGGATAGGTCGCCCGTCCATCTCAGGATTACCACACAATTGTTTTGATTTGAAATATTTATCAGGAAAAGGATCCATTTTCTTGCTTCTCCAAACTGTAAGAAAGTCTGCTTGTCATTTTAGTGTTTCAGTGTTCGTAAGAAGCCATTTGGTGTGGTAGATCAAGTTTATAAGGTCAGAAAAACCCAAAGTCTTTTCGGACTTCTGTTGCTTCAGGCCGTCATTTATCATCCTCACTCATCTTCCTGACATTTCACCACAAACCCTCCAAGTCTCCCATCAGCATCCTTTGCGTCATTTCCTGGTGCACAGGCCTTGTGCAGATGTTTCGGATGTCGTTGTGTGCCAAAGGCTCAGAGGATACTAGCGATAACAGGAGCATTTGTGGTTGAGTAACACCTCAAGGGAGGAAATCCTGAGCAGAGAGTACAAGCTCAGATGTTGGAAATGATGAAAATTTCAAACACATGGCTGATAAATTCATAAGCCTGCTTTCAATCTTCTCAGTATTTTTTTTACCTTCAATCTAAGAAGACTCACACATAGAAAAAAATATGAAGATGAGAGAAATTGTAGTACTTTGCAGATGAAAATACATTTTTAGGTACTTTTGGTAGTGAAAATTAACATGCATTTTTGCAAAAGTGCTGCATGAAAATTACATATGTACATGTGTTCTAGACATTATAATTATCACCCAAAAATTTGAGCCACATTTTATGTACTTAAAAAAAAACTGGTATAGTGAATCATAAAGATCTTGCTCTTCAAGGATTTCCAAGTTGTGGTATTTTATGATGCTGTGGGATGAACTTATTTGAAAATTGCCAAGCTTGGATAAAAAAAGACTGAAGAAAAATTTACATTTGTAATTTTTTTTTTGTTTGAAATTGGAAATCGAATATTGTAATATTACAACACTGAGTTATACAAGGTTAAATATTGCCATTATAGATAAAATCTTGCTTACTTTCCAGTAAATTTCTCCAAAGTCCCTCTCAATTGAGGTTTTAAGCTACATCTTTTTCTCTCCTGGGTCCTACTCTTGTGGCATAAGATGACTCTTAGTCTGACCTGAACTCTGTACTTCCTTCTTCCCTTTCCTTTACTCTCTGACAATGACAGAGTCAGCACACCCCTGAGAACAGATTCACCTCTATTTAACCGAGTGAGTTGGCTGATGAACACAAACTCTGTGAGACTGCCTTCTCCCCAGCACGTTTCATCTTTTCTCTCACCAGCCATGAATATTATCTGGGTCTGCATCTCTTCACTTCTGGCTTTTTCTTCTGTTTTCTCTGATCAAAACACAAGTAACATAAGAGGTGAGCGATCTATTTTTGTTTCATATATAAAAAAACAGCATCATTTATTAATTGACATGACTTTTTGCTGCTTTCAGTTTTCCCTGCAGCTAATCAGAGTATAGCTGGTGTAGTCCAGGTGAGGTACCAAAACAACCAAAACCAGCTTCAGTACGCCTTCAATGCCTCTGAAGCCCGGAAGATCTGTCAGTCCCTCGGACTCAGCATCGCTTCAAAGGCTCAGGTGAAGGAAGCTCTCAGCAGAGGTCTGGAAACATGCAGGTGAGACCACAGCAGTGTTTTCCATTGACTCCTCAGCATAATTTAAAATAAATCCCTGACATAATACTTTGGAGTAATTCAGGTTTGGGTGGACTGATGAGCAAATTGCAGTCATTCCTCGAATCCATGCATTGGCTAATTGCGGCCAAAATCAAACTGGACTGGTGCTGTGGCGCGCCTCCGTAACAAACCGGTTTGATGTATTCTGCTTTAACAAATCAGGTATGACTTACTTTGTTTTTCCACTCATTTGCAAATGAAGAGGCACATATTATATCTTATAATTGTAATGTCCTTCATATCCATCTACATTCTTTATGGCTTAAGCAACAAAACAAAGCAAAACATATGGTCAGTGGTTCCCAACCCAACTTGTTCAACATAAAAGTTAATTTTAGATACCTTAAAGATGACCCCAAGTTTGAATACTGCCATAATAATTGGTGAGGTTTGTATTTTTATGCTCTAATTTATTCCACAAGTTTGAGATGATGTGATTATAGCCTTGATTTAAACAATCTTGTCAATTTTGTGAAAACACAAAATATGCATTGTTTTCCCAAAATAGGTTGCAAAGTGAGGTATTTGGCAGGAGATTATTACAGCTTTGACTAGGAGTATAATTAAGATGAACATTGATTTTGATAAAAAAAAAAAAAAAATCCCCCAAGAAACTTATACTGTTATTTGCTCTTACTTTCCAATTTGTTTTTAAATGAAAATATCTGGAAAATGCATGTGGAGCCTCAAGGTGCCTCGAAAGATAAGTGGGTTATTGTGAGAGTTATTTTACGGCTCAGAAGCAAAAAAAAAAAAAAGGCTTGGAAATATCTGCGTAGTTAAAGAAAGTCACTGATCAACTAAGCTTTGATTAATGTCATTTGTATGGTTTTATACAAATCTACACAAAATGCTCTTCAGTCCAATAATTGGCCAGTGCCTTTCCTAATCTGATTCCTAATCCTAATCCTTCATGTTCATCCACAGATGCATTAATACAATTGAAGGACACAGTGACTGATAACCCTCTGAGCAGCTCTGAGCATGCAAACTCAGTAGACTCCAACCTCACAACCCAGTCTACGTCCTCATCCTCCACCTATCCTCCGTCCTTTACATCAACTGATGAAACCATGAGCAATGAGGCGGAGCCAGCCCGATTTGTTGGCAGTCCTCAAACCTTTGCTGGATGTAAGCGGTTGAGCAGTGAAGGAAATTTTATACCAGTAGAGGGGGAGTTTTCATACTCATGAGTTGTTTTTTTTCTTTTCCTTTCTTTCAGCAAAAGCTGTGCTCATCTCCTGCATCTGTGGCCTGCTCTTTACCATAATATCTTTTGTTGCATACTTAAAACTGTGAGTGATTTTAATGATAAAACATTTAGTACATTTGAAGAAAAAAAAACTGCTTTATCTAATTTTTTCCTGTTTCAATCTTTGTGAAAAGAGGAAGGCACTGTCATTCACGCTCTGACGAGAAGCAGCAGCAGCAGCAGCAAGATCACACCCTGACAGAAGAGTGGATATCTGTGAAGACTATTGCAGAAACCACTAAAGACATTCAGGAGGATCAGAGGATAGAAGTGGACGATGGGGAAGAATAAACTTTTTTTTAACTATGTTTGGAGGGGAATGCATATGTACATATTTAATATTTTGTTTAATCTGTCAGTCAGTGATGTACAGTAGTTTAGCCACTAGAGGGACATGTTTACAAACATTTTGATTAGGAACTTTTTATTGTTATGATCACGCTTGAATAAAGTACTGAAATCTCAGAGTCAAGTAAAGGTATAGGTACCTCTCCAAAATATGACTTTGGTAAAAGTCCAAGATGCATCCTATTGGTGGTGATGAACAAGCCCAGGCAAGTCGGCTGCCGACTTTGTTGCAGTCAATCAGTAGGTTGGGGTCAAAACACTTGCGTTTCTCTCTCTCGCTTTTTTGTAACGAGTGACTAAACCACACATTGAAAATGTATCGGAGTAAAAGTATGCAATTAAGTTCGGAAATATAGTGAAGTAAAAGTGAAAGTTATCAAAAATGTTCTTACTCGAGGAAAGTATGAAGAACTCCAAAATATACTTAAGTAGTGAAGTGTTTTTACTTCGTTACTATACAACACTGGTTATGATTCTGTTTGTACATTAAACCAAAAAGGGGCAGTTCTCTTGCACATTTTTATTTCATGAGATATTTTTCTAACAAAACAATTCAGAAAACACATTAAAGAAGACAAAGGAAATGTCACTAATCCATATTTGTTTTTAAACATTTTGTCTCACCTCTGGCATTCAATGTATACTGTTGGTAACTGTTTTAAATTTTTTATAGTATACACTTTTCAGAAAATATGTTGTGAAGTATGATAGTTCACACATTTAGGCATTACATAACAGACAACAGCAAGTATAAATCAACTTCACATGTCTGTCCCGGTCTTAGCTGTAATCACTTTTTTTGCACTTGAAGAAGTGATCTTTACATTAACTATCAGAGCCATTAGGTTATTTTAAAACAAAGCAAACCAATGGTAACAGAGAAGAGAGAGAGTTGTTCTTTTGTTTGAAGTTTCCTTTCAGTCCTAAAGGAAATTCATAGCTTCAGTCTTCACTGCATCAGCTATAAAGCTGAGCTCGTTGCACAGCGTCTCGTGTCTGTAGGCCATGCGGATCTGTGCAACGTTTGTCCGACGGATGTCATTCCCTTCATGTCCGTCCTTCAGGTAGTTCGCTCCCAAGAAGTGCTTCTTTTCCTTAAAGGTGTTACATCTAGTTAGTAAACTTTGGACCAAATTTGGTGATGCCTGGATATGGTCAGAAATCTTTTTAAAAGTGTCTCAAATTACCTCGTGACTTAGCCCACTTTGCAGCACACTGTTCCTGGCAATCTCACAGACATCACAGGTGCTGAGCTTCCACAGCTGAGCTGCTATAGCATACTCTTCCATCAGAGGTTCCTATGACAGGTTAAGTTGTGTAACAAGAACTATTTACATAAGTCTAAATTTGTGTCCTTGAGTCTTAAGCAACAGAAGTTGTGTCCCTACATGTTTTTACCTTGGTGTAGTGGAACTGCATGGGATCATCTGTGGACAGTGACACACACAAACCTTTGTGTAGAAACTCTCTGAGAGGGTTTTTGGAGTATTCCAGGAACAGGCTATTGTTGCTGAGCGGAGACATGGCAATAGGTATTTGGGCCAGGTAGTACAGATACTGCAGCACAGGACTCTGTACAAAAATATAAATATTACTCTTGAAATCAATGGTCCACAGAGAGAACTCTTGGTCTGATTCTGTCTTTTGTGCGTCTCTAAATGTTTCAGCTCCCATTTTTAATCTGAAATAGTAAATAATGTTACACTAAAGAAACTCATTTCAGTGTGAGGAATATAAAGTGTTTGTAAGAACATTTTAGATTTCAGAAATGTCCTGCTGCCTCATGGATTGTCACTGATTTAAATAAATTTCTTAGTGCATTACTTCCTTTCTCTTCCCCATACAATTACCCTGTTCTTATTTTCAGAACAGGAACAGGTCTTGAGCCTTTTTTGTTAAGGCTCAAGACCTTAACAAACAATGAAAAACTCTGGTATCCACACACACATTTCTTCATAAAGAAGAAAAACAAATCTCCACTGTGAGCTACTTCCTCCCTGTGCTCTGGTTACTCTTTGGTTTGATAATCTCTATTTTAGAAATGAGAGCTCAGAGTTGAGGCTCTCTAAATATTAAGGTACCTTTTTCAGGTTGAGCCCATGTGAGATGTTGTCCGCAGTTAGAAAAGCAGAGACCAGATGAGTGATCGATCCTGCTTCTCCACAATGGGGCCGAAACTGGAAAGTGTTCAGTCCACGCTCTCTATGGAAATATGACATCCATCAAATTAAACTTATTTATTACCGTACTAAGATAAGTATCCTTTCTTGCTTTCCTATGATTGTTTCTATACAAAATGATCAATCTTCTGATGGCAGAATAAACACTGATAAGCTTTCTAATCAGGTAGAAAATACACTTTCCTCCATGTGATCTCTTCTTTTAAAAGGTAATTGTATGTATGCGAGGAAACCATCATTCAGTCTTACTTCCTCAGGTTGTTGAGCACCATGATGTTGCCATACATGTAGAAGATGTAGTAGCTGTATGGAGGGTTGTCATGTGTGGTCCACTGTTCTGGCTTTGGACTCCTATAAGAGAACATGTGGTTGCTGTGTTTGGTTTCATCATCTACGCTGTCAAAGCCTGAAATCTGAAAATAAACAAACCAGTCAATGCCACATCATCATTTTCGTAACATTTCTGTAACAAACTGGTTTCAATAAGTGGATAAATAATACTTAATAGGTTCAATGAATTTTCTAGTCCTACTTTTAAATTAATGACCATGGATTTTTTTAAGCTCTTTAAAATGCTGTTCTTCTATGTGAGGACCTTTTTTTTTTAATGAACACCTGACTCATATTTATGCTCACACCAAAATGCATTACTGCATCTAAATGACAGCATTTACAGCTTAAACTTCTTTTCAGAATGCATTTCGAAATTATCAACAAATTACATACATATTTGAGGAAAACATGGAGTTCTTTGTAGGTTTGTGGATTCACAGTTGCCTTGAAGAGAGGAAGGAAGATGTTCTCCAGAATCTTGGCAAAATTGGTTACGAGATTCTTTGACTTGAAAATATCACTTAAAAGAATATAAAAACACTGTCAATACTTATTGAAATTATCTGAGCTCAGACGCTGTCATGTTTTAAGCGAAACGTACTCACTATATTCTAGGAACCTGAATCATCCACCTCATGTTTGGTGAGTGAAGTTTTTGCTGAATGAACCACTTTGCTAGACTCTCCCACTCGTCAGTAGAGCGTCCATAGATGGACAAGCGTGGCTCAGCGTACTGATATTTACTCTCTTCCAAATCGCTGGCCACCTCCTGTGGATGCAAGGAAGGGTGCATGAAACCCGTTCTACTCCAGCTCTTATTGAAAACACATGGCTACTGGATGAGGTACCTTTATAATCCGAGCAAAGTACTCTCCATTAATGTAGTTGTCTGTTTTGAGGAAGATCTCCCGGAGTTCACTGGCACCCATGGGGTTATACTTTGAATTGAACTTGTCAAACCGGTGAAAGGTTTGCCTGCCCTGCAAATTTCCATTCGCCAGAAAGAGAGATTATGAAGTTAGCATGATGATCATTTGTCACTTAACTGGTAGTAAAATGAAATTACCTGAATTACAAGCAGAAATAGAAGGAGCTTGTAGGGAATAAGCTTTGTAATTTTTACTAAATTCAGCAGGTAAAAATAAGACACTTTGAAAATGTTTGTTCATTTCCTTACAGCATGTACATCGAGAGAATCCACAGTGAGGTCGTAAGCATCCATGCTGAGACCGTGGAAAACCTCCTGAAGGGTCATCTCTTGGCCATCTTTTTCCAAGACTACACGGTCTTTATCGGTTTTGTATCTTTCCTGAATGAATGTGAGTAGGTGTTTCTGAGGCATGCATGCGGCTGCATGAATGTGTGTATCCACCTGGAAAAAAGAAACAATTCTGTGTGCTGAGAAAAATATACAGTTAAGCTAATATAGGTCTATTCCAACACTTAATAACCTAGTCCTAACCCCCTAATCCTAACATTTCACAGAAAACAATGTTGTTTTCAAACAGCATTGAAAAGAATGAGAAAATGTGATTTAGACAGATGCAGTGTTTTTAATCAAACTGAAAAAGAGGTAATTACAAAATAATCCCAGTTTATGTACCAACATCACTACTCCACAATGGATTAGATTTTTACTAAAGTCGAAACAAAGCTCATTACAGAACATGCTGGCTTATCTGTGCATTTACTCCTAGAAACATTCCAAACATTAAATGCAATCTAGGGAAAAAAATCAACAAATACATTTAAATTTAAATCACAAGTATGATTGAAGGAAAAATTGCCAGTTTTGATCACTGGCAATTTTTCACCAACAATGGTTCTTTGGTGTCACTGACTGAAAGGAATCATATCTATTACTAAATAATATTAGTAAGAGAACTAAATGTTATCTTCTGCTTATACTAAATCAAACACTCAAAAGAAAACTCACACCCCCCAAAAAATCCTTACTAACAATATTTTTTTTTATACCTTGTAGACAAAGTAGTTACCTTCCTAACATTGTAAAAGTCTCTATGAGGAATACTTTTCAGCTCCTTAAGCTCAGCCATCTCGTTGAGTATCTCATGGAGGTAGAACTTTGAACTTAAGAAGTTAAGTCTTCTGTGACAGTAGGTTTTGCTGAAAATTAGATTAGAACTTTGTTTACATGCTATGCAAGTGCTCACAACTGGTTTTTCAACCAGCATGACTGAAGTCTATTTATTTTTGTAACTTACGTCGGTCCATCTGTAATCATTGCCAGTAGATCACTGAGATCTATGGCATAGGTCTCCAAATCTGGGTAAGGTAGATCAGTGGGCTGATCATTTCTTAGTGCCTCTCCACATTCATACACACACACAATCCCATTCTTCATCTTCAGTTCATAGTTGAGATTCTCAGGGATGTTGTCCATGTTGTAGGGATCCTCACCTTCTGCGGGACATGGGGACATGTCTGAAGGGCATAGCATTGTTCAGTTATGGTCACATAAAGAAATATAATCATGGTTTAGAATGTCAGACACTTTATACCAGGCAGAACTTCATCTTCTATGTCCCACATCAAGTTCTCAGCACTGCGCATGAACTGGCTTGTAGTCCTACAGAATCTGTG